ATTTTCCATAGTTGCCATTGAAATAAATCTCAGTTTTAGCTGGAATGAGGATCCGCTGGCTCTACAAGGGCCATTGCCATGGAGGTAGACTAATTCGAAGAATGAAATCCTATCCAGCGCATCGAGTCATGGGATTTGGGCACTTGGCCCTATAGTAGTGAACAGAATGCCAATTCACTCGGAATTCAACTCCATTAAATTCCAATACCGATGACGACCATTCCCAAAGTCCAAGGCGAAACTTATTTGAAAGTCCAGATATTTGGCGAGATCGAAATTGAAGAGGTTCATATCCCTTATTTGAATCCGAAGAAATTGAAAACAAACTCACTGGTCGATTATTCCTCCAAGTCCCTTGTTAGGATCATGATTAAAGGCACAACCTTGATCCTCATAACGGCAATGCCCATATATCAGAACATTTCGACATAGGGTATCCTTCGCGTTTTCTAGTACAGCTTCATCAATATCCGTTTTCATTTCCTATGCATATCAAGCCAAGAATGCGCCTAAAACATACCACGTCCTTTCGGCCTCGGAGAACTCGTCGGTCTACGAAGTTCGGGTTGATTGAATCTTGTAGCCGCCATTGTTTTATATTATATTTTAAATTCTTGCTTCAAGGTGAATAGAACTATCTGCCGGACCCCAATGACACTTTAGGAAGCCTAATGAAAAGGAATCATGTTAGCTCGGTTCAATTCAACTAATGAGGTGGTTTCAAGTATCATCTAGCGTTTCCAAAAGGAAATTGACCGCAGCGACGCGTAAAAGGGGTAAAGTGAAGGGAGTAAGTGATGGATATGCTTCTTGCTCACTTGAATCTGGCTGACATTTCCTAAAATCCAATAAGACGAAGATTGGTCCTTGTGTGAGGTTTAATGAGTAGAAATGATATTCAACATAAGAGCTATACAAAGAATCCTGCCAAGGAACAGACAGATCAAAACCAATGTGACATGTAGCACATTCAATGAAAGTTTAGACTAATAGTCGTGTTGAGGCTGAAGATATCATAATATATATGACGCGGGGTGGAGGTTTCTTTGAAGGTGGGAACATTGGCTGGCTGGTGGTGATGCACCAGAAGTTAATGCGATCCGATAAAGAGGTGGATCCAGATTTTCAGCCTTGTTGTGGCTTTAACGGGAATTTAGTTTATCCGATACCGATTTGTGGCTCAATCATTGTCATTGAACAATCATCATTAATTCTAGAACTGCTGTATCCGTACTTCTGAGCTAATATCTCCCTAGTGAATCGTGATATCACACCAAGTTCAATTTGAATATAAAGAACGATTCACTCTTATCTGGCCGCTACTACGGCTTTCATCATTTCTACTGAACATGCAAATATATTTCAAGTAACTTCTGTCTTTTGGACAACACGACAAACAAACTGACAACACAAACAATGGCTACTCCAGATACCGATATCAGCCAGCTGTCCGAAACACAGCAGGCAGCTTTACAACAATTACTTGCGGTAACTGGTCAAGAAGTAGATCAAGCAGTCCCTCTATTGCAGAGATCACAATGGAGTGTTGAGGTAAGAATTCGAGCCTTATCCTTCAATGATCCCATATCCATCTTTGTATTAATTCTTGATAGATTGCAATCGCAAAGTTCTTTGACGGCGAAGATGATTCTTTGACAGCAGCAGGGCTAGCAGCTCAAAACGTTCCACCTCCTCGAGCTTCGAGACAAGAAAACCTTCAATATAGTCTTCTCAACGAATCCTCAAATCGAACGAGAGCTCAAAATGTGGACTCGGCTCCAAGAATCGTTCCTCAGCCGGAGGATCAAGTAATTCGAAGACCAAATCTTATTTTCGCCATACTATTCGCACCATTCAGTGTGCTCTACAAAATTTTCTCGATGGGATATAGAGCCTTTGCATTTTTGTTTCCTTTCCTACCAAGGTTCAGACCTACCGGCGCATCAAACACAATGGGACGGAGGTCACTCAAACCGAGAGATGCAGCAACACGCACAAAGCGGGAGTTCGAGGAAGAATATGGGCCAAACAATATACCATTTTTCGATGGAGGTTATGCGCAAGCATTGGATCTTGCAAAAAAGGATTTAAAATTCCTTATTGTTCATTTAATGTCTCCGGAACATGATGATACATCCGATTTTGTGCACCAAACTTTGCTTTCCGAAGAAGTTATCTCATTTCTCGGGGACAAAACCAATAACATAATATTTTGGATGGGAGATGTACGCGATTCAGAAGCATATCAAATCTCTTCAGCTTTGGGATGTACCAAATTTCCATTCACAGCCTTAATTACCCATACACCCGACCAAGGAGCTACATCAATGTCGGTTATTGCTAGAATCTCTGGACAAGAAGCACCTGGCGCATTCGTAGCGAAATTACAAAGCGCAATGGGACAGCATTCCGAGAAATTGGCTGCAGTTCGTGCACAACGTTCAGCGCAAAACTTCGAACGCACATTAAGAGAAGAACAAGATTCTGCCTATGAGCAATCTTTAGCACAAGATAGAGAACGTGCTAGACAGAGAAAGGAAGCAGAAGCCGCGGCTGCAGCAGAAGAAAAGAGGAGGAAGGAAGAAGCAGAAGCTGCTGCCAAATTAGACGAAAATCGAAAACAATGGAAACAATGGCGAGTACAAACCATTCAACCAGAACCTGAGCCAGGAACGAATGTTGTTCGAGTTGCATTGAGAATGCCAGAAGGCGCTAGAATTACTCGACGTTTCGAAGCGAATTCAGGAATCGAAGAACTTTACGCATTTGTCGAATGCCATGATTTACTTGAAACTGGCAAGGAGTACAATAGGCAAAAGCCGGAAGGATATGAACACAAATATAATTTCAGATTAGTGCAAAGCATACCGAGAGAAGTGTATGAGATTGAAGGGGGAGGAACAATTGGGGAGAGAGTTGGCAAGAGTGCGAACTTGATTGTGGAATCTATTGATGATGAGGATGAGGATGATGATAATGAATAAAATAGGGTGGTAATTTAGTTGATGCTGGTATACTATGGTATATTATACCGTTGGCGTTTGGATTGACTCCGGCTAGAGTTTTATATCTATAGTAGTATTAAAGCATCACTGCGTGGGTGGCATAGACTCTTTACAAATAAATTCATCTATCATCAAGTATAATGCTCTCCGAAAATAGCATGATGTGACGCTCCCAAACATATAGATTCTGTTAACCATCATATTGCAGGCCATCAGTCAACTTCTTCTTTATCCGAAGTCCCTAAATACTTCATGTTCATTCATTATGTGTTCGTTCAACTCTCCTATTTGGAACTCGGCACCATTCCTACAGCTCTCTGATGCATTTTTTCACTGCCTAAACTTTCCCACAATATTCAATCAACGTTATGGGCTATTAAAAACCATTCCTCCCTTCTTCCGCATTTCCCACATCATAACAAGTTTGCATTACCCTTCTGATCACAATTCTTGGGAGACAAAATCGAAGTGAACTTATCAATAGAATAGGGATTGGGAACTGAGAACTCCGAGCATACTATAATATCTGTCAGCGTACTGAACGAGCTCCATACTCCCACACTATACTTTCACGTGTATAATGTTTGGAAAATTTATGTCGCGAGTATTTCAAAGCGGATATTGTTGTGCTTTTAAGTTTGAGAAATTGGTGTTAGACGAGTAGAATTTGCAGTTAGCGAATCACAAAGTGAGATCAGGAAAATAGTATCCAGGACATTTCATTGCGATATATCCATGAATTTGCTAGAGGATACCATCCAGGTAAGAATCCTGGAAGCTGCCTACATTTATACTTCTCTCTCAAGATCCTGTTGAGAATAACAAGAATTCTTTCTCGTATAATCTAATTTCAATACTTCCATCACTTTCTCTCATCTCTTCTTTCCTCTCTGTTTCTAAGTCTGCTTTCCAATCTCGAAACTTTGTTCCTCCGTGTAAACCTATGCAAAGTCACCAATTCGTCTCCCGTCTCTTCGTCTCTCCACCCTTCAAGTACCACACTCTCACATTGTCTAACGTCAAACATCAATCCAATGCAACCTCAGCAGTATAGAAGAAATCACAAAATGTCTACTATATATTATACCTAAATAGAGACTCCCGGTAGGAATTCCAATGGAGATATATTTGAAACAAAAAGAAAGACATACTTGCGAATGAGGTATGTGCTTTGTATGATTACATTTGCATAGCCAAAATATACAGCGGTCACTAAGTAGAGCCAGGCTAGAGCAAGGAGCTCATCTACTGTGATTGTTTGTCGGAAGCATGTTTGTGGTTGTGAACTTGCGAAGTGAATTTAGTGAGGATAGGAAAACAGAGACTCGGAATTGAGAGGAACATGCTTATACGTGTGATTTGGTGATGGAAGATCATCTGAGGTCTTATGTTTCTGACAAAAAAAGAGTTCTAATATACCGACCATAGAGGACAGGAAGCAACAACCGAGATTATCAATTTATGATCTTCAATTTTCATGCATAATTGGATATCCGGGTATCATTCTCAATCTACGTTTCTTACATTAAATTGACCTATATTTTTGTGCTCATAGGTATCTATAGCAACTGCCGATATGATAAAGACATATACGTTGAATATCCTCTCGCTTCTCCTTACATCAACCCCGCATTCTTCCATCTAGCGAACGAGCTAATATACACTTAACTTTCAGCTAGACAATCAAGCTTTAGACTTGACTAAATTGAAGGTGACACATGTCATCCTAACGTTAACTTTAATCATTAATTTTCTAGTATTGTTTAGAATATATACACAAGAATTAAATTATAGTATCGTTCTCATGCTACAATTCATACATGTTCTCCCAACTCCAGCACTATATAAATCTTGTGTCTTTCTCTTGATTCTCAAGCACATTATAACTTTATCATCCAAAAACATCAGACAGACCTATAAAATATCGACACTATTTCTTTTCATCATATTACTACCATCTGATGCTAGTTAATTGAAGAATTTGCAAAAAAGTGTAGAGGTTGGAAATGGGACTACATGAGGAGGAGAAGCAGGGGAAGTAGAGGGGAAGTCATGAAAGGTATATCGTAAGCAATAAACGCAATCAGGAGGAGAGATACCAAAACAGTTGACGAAGAGAAATAATCAAGAATCAAGAAGAAAAAAGATGTATCAGTCATTCACCAACAAAATCCAGATGAACAAACATATACAAGCAGACCACTTATGAACCTAGTCCAGCAATAGACAGATACATAGAGCCACTCCTATCCTTCCGCTCATCATTTTCCGCACTATCATTACGAGCCTGTTCATTTCTTTTCTTCTTTCCTCAATACAATCCCCCCTCCCATCCACTCCGTCTCGCTTCATCCCATAACCTCGCATCTCCTATTCCCCCTCCATATGCATACCCCGTTCTTACCTCTCCATATCCCGTCGCATAACCCGTTCCGTAGGCTGTGTCGTGACTATATACGGATGATTATTAGCTTTGAAAGTGATAGTATGAGTAAGTGATATTGGAAGCCGGGTTGAAGGTTTTAGTATTAGAGGGGGGGAGGGGCGGGGAAATAAGCGGAAAAAGAAGAGGAGAGAGAGAGAGAGAGAGTGAGTGAGTGAGTGAGAGAATTGGAGAGGAGAATATATCAACTCTACAAAGCAGAAAAAGAAACAAAAAGAGATTCAGTCAACTCCCAAACGAAAGAAAACACGCGAAAATGAACATCCACCTATCCATCCCTATAGCAAGTATCCTCACCTCAACTTCCCTAATCAAACCCAAAATCTCAATACTCCTCCCACAATACATCAAACCTTCCCCTCTTCTCTCCAGAGTCTCAAAATATCCACCAACAAAACGAAGCAAAATTAAAAACAAACACAAGAAATCAACTCACCCCACACAACTACCAATCGGATCCTCAATCCACCCTACCAAGCGAAAACTACTCCTCATACTAAAAGGATGAAGACAGTATTTCCTTAGAAAAGGTCTTATTTTCTTCTCGCGTTTTTCTTTCCCATTCCCATTCTCATTCTCATTTCTTGATTCATTTCCCCCTCCCCTTTCCCCTTGCCCTTCCTCTCCCTCTCCACCCTCATCCCCCACCCTCCGACCCCCCAGAAATCCCCTCGCCTTCCCAAAACTTTTCCACCTCTCCATTCGTGAATACACCATCGATATCCCCACTCCCCCACCGCTTTTCCCCACAGCATTCAAACCCAAAGCAGAAACCTCAGATCTCAAAGTCGGAGTCGATGTGGACATCTCAAGCGAAAGTTCCGGAACCGTTGGGATAGATGAACAAGACATGTACGAACCATTATCTACATCTTTACCAGGTTCCGCAGTGGCATATCCAAGCGTATTGATAGAATACATACTACTTGCAGATAAACTTATATCTCTCCCCTCCACCCCTCCTTCATTTTCACACCGAAGTACATGAGATCGATTTCGCGACTGAGAAATCCCTCCATCCACCTTCCTCACCACCGCCACCTCATCTCGACAAAGCGTCACCGTAACCGCAGGCCGAAAACTAACAGAACATGTATCCGTCTCCCCATTTCGAATCACCACATCATCTTTCTCCCATCCCGATATCTCGGGGTTTGCGAACGAAGCCTGAACGTGAGTATCAGAACGAGACTGGACCTCCGAAAACGACCTCAGAGAACTCGAACCCGACGAGGTACGACGGAATGAAGTGCGTTTGAAAGGGGATCGACGATGTCGTTGATGAGAGGGTGGCATTTTAAATTTCTCCTTTCCTTTCTCCTTTTCCTTTTCCTTTCACAAGAGATGAAATGAAGAAGTTTCAAAAATCTAAAATCCCCCGTCTTCAACTCCTTTTCCACAATAATCCCATGCGTATTCACACACACACACTCGAAATAAGATGAAAACCCGCGAGAGAAATCTCCATGAGATATATCACCCCATCATACATATCATACGTATGCTCCACTCTATCCAAAATACAAACATGGAACTGCAGATGGAAGCACCAAAAGTCTCATGTCAATTAAATTTATCTCCATCCAAACCCCACCATTCATTATGCAAATATGAATATGAATATGAATCTGCGTTCAAGACCCCGACTCAGACTAAGACTAAGACTCAGACTCAGACTCGGACCCAGACTCAGACTCAGACTCAGAATTTGATTTCACCTGAAATTAAACCCAAAGTTTCACTTATTGGTCCAACAATATAATACAATACAATACAATACAGTCTATTCGTCTATCCCCTCCCCCTCCCCCTAATCGCATTTCCCCAAAACTCAAGTGAAAATACCTAGGTACACGATACAATAGAATACAATATAGCACAGCAAACAAACCTCATCGATCCAAAAACACAAATCTAATATCACAGCAGGCAGCAGACGAGCAGCCCGCAAAAGAAAGAACGAAAAGCGAAAGGATAACAATTGCACTCAGAATAAAATAGCAGAAATACCCAAAGATACCTATAAAAAGAGATAATAGAAATAAAACAAACAAAACAAGAAAACGAAACAATATTCTTACCAAAATCTATCCCCCTCTGCGCTCTGCACACTGTACCTAGAAAAAAAAGAAGAAAAAAAAAAGAAGAAAAAAGAAGAAGAAAAAAACTATGACAACTAGACTAAAAACAATGACCCAACAACAAAACACAAAATACAAGACTTCATTCAATCCTTCAATTCCCTACATCTTCGATTCCCCTCCCCCTCGCCTCTCCCTCTTCGCCTCTCGCTCTCTCTCTCTCTCTCTGTCGCCCCAAAAATCCATTTCCTGCCGCACTATCTGACTGCGTATAAAGCAAAGTTCATAAACCCCTGCATTTCTAATCTCCTATTTTTTTTAATTTCCTATTTCTTTTTTATGCTTCCCTAATTATTCACCTCCCCCCCCTCATTATCTCTCCCTCATCTCCCCCAAACAAAAATCTTCCAAAACATAAATCACATACTCACACTCACACTTACACTCATACTCACACTTACACTCATACTCACACTTACACTTACACTCACACTCACACATACACCTACACACACATACACCTACACCACCAATCCCACAATCCCACAATCCACAACCTCACTCCCAGTATTCAAATCCACTCCCACCTCCCACTCCCACTTCCACCTCCCACTTCCCAACAATCCCAAGCCACTGTGCAATCAATCCCCTATAAAATTCCGTCTTGGCTGGGGAAGAAAGAAAACCAGGTATCACACCACACCACATCACATCACACCACATCACATCACACCACATCCCCGACCCGAAATGTTTCCTTTGTTCTGCGGGGATGTAACATCTTGAAAGCTGTGTGAGTATCACAAGTACAACTTTGTAGCACCCGCACCCGCACCCGCACCCGCATACACACAGGTACAAACACAAACACAAGCACATACAATTCAATTCAAAACCAAAAGTCATAAGTTCAAGATAAAAGCACATATTTCTATTTACCCCCTCCCCCTTCACTGCTAACTATCACCACCGACTATCACTCATCCCCCATCTTCCATCAACAATCATCATAATTCATAAAATCACCTCTCATTCCCCATCTCGATACATACACACCTGCATCAACAAAGCAAGAGACGGGTATAATGCTCGCATATTTGCAAATAATGCAATGCAATGAAACATTGCGAAATGTGTAATGCAAATCAAGCAAAAGCCACAGTAAATACAAATGCAAATGCTCAAAAATACGATAGAAATGTATACAAAGTTTTGGTATCCATTAGACATGTTAGAAGACTATCCCCCCATTACATCATCATTATTAGCTCCTCCATATATTTGTCATTTTGTCCATTATTAGTAGACATTCATCATATCTATCCACTCGATCCTCCACCGTCATACACCCTTAACTTGTTCTCTCCTTGTCATAAAGATTCCCCTAACTGAACCGATTAAAAATCAAAAGAGAATATTTAAGCCGTTTGTTCGTTCTCGGCTTCGGACTTAGCCTCAGGAGTAGCATTTCCTGATGCGGCCGCGGCAGCAGCGGCAGCAGCAGCCGCCTTTCTCTTCTTCTTCTTAAGGGTAGACTTTGATGGGGATGTCGAAGATGATGGGGATCCTGGAGATGTTGGGGAAGTTGGGGTAGTTGGTGATGTTGGTGTAGCTGGTGACTTCAACTCAATAGTCTTAACATTGTCCTTGATTTGACCAAGTCCCTTCTCATTCAAGAAAACACCCTCTTGAGCAATCAACTCAACCTTGGTCAAAACTTCCTTAGTATCGAATTTCTCAGTTGTAGTCTTAATTTCAGTCAAGACACCATCTTGAGCAGAGATGCTTGTGATAATTTCTTTGACGGATGATTCAAGACCAGTGATGTCAGTTTCCTTGAAGGATGGAGCTGGGGTAGATTTAATTTCATCAACGGTAGTCTTAACGGAAGCGATGGAAGACTCAATGTTAGAAAGATCAATCTTTTCTGGTGCAGGTGATGCCTTGACTTCTTCAATAGCTGCCTTGATTTCGGAGATAGATGATTCAATTGAGCTTAGATCAATCTTCTCTGGTGCAGGTGATGCCTTGACTTCTTCAATAGCTGCCTTGATTTCGGAGATAGATGATTCAATTGAGCTTAGATCAATCTTCTCTGGTGCAGGTGATGCCTTGACTTCTTCAATAGCTGCCTTGATTTCGGAGATAGATGATTCAATGTTAGAAAGGTCAGTAGGTTCATGAGTTGGGGCTGGGGTAGCCTTAATCTCATCCACTGTAGCCTTAACAGCTGCAATAGAAGACTCAATGTTGGAAAGATCAACTGCCTTTTGTTCTTGAGCTGGAGTAGCCTTGATTTCATCAACGGTACTCTTAACTGAAGCAATAGATGCCTCAATTACGCTCAAGTCAATCTTTTCGTGAGCTGGAGCTTCCTTGGCCTTGATTTCTTCAACGATGGACTTGACGGACTCGATGGAAGATTCAATCTTGCTCAAATCAACTGATTCTGGAATTGGTGATTCTTTAGCCTTGATCTCATCAACTGTGCTCTTGACAGAGGCAATCGATGCCTCAATAGCACTCAAATCGATCTTTTCGGCAGCTGGGGTCTCCTTTGTCTTGATCTCCTCGACAGATGCCTTGATAGACTCGATCGATGACTCGATTTGACTCAAATCAACCTTTTCAACAGCTGGGGTCTCCTTGTTCTTAATATCCTCGATAGATGCCTTGACGGATTCGATCGATGACTCGATTTGACTTAAATCAACCTTTTCGGCAGCTGGGGTCTCCTTAGCCTTGATTTCCTCAACAATTGCCTTGACAGACTCGATGGATGATTCGACGTTGCTTAAATCAACCTTCTCGGCGGCTGGATATTCCTTGGTCTTAATTTCCTCAATAGATACCTTGATGGATTCAATTGAAGATTCGATGTTGCTTAAATCAACCTTTTCGACAGCTGGGAATTCCTTGGTCTTAATTTCCTCAACAGATACCTTGATGGATTCAATTGAAGATTCGACGTTGCTTAAATCGACCTTCTCGGCAGATGGGGTTTCCTTGGCCTTAATTTCCTCAACAATAGTCTTAATCTCGTTAACGGAGCTCTCAATGGTAGAGAGATCAGTCTTTTCCGGTGCTGGAACTGATTTGATTTCGTTGAGAGTACCGGAATGAGATTCGAGAGCTGCCTTGATTTCAGCGACGGAGGATTCGAGAGAAGAAAGGTCGACTGGTCCAGAAGCGGAAGACTTGATCTCGTCAAGAGTGCTCTTGTGGGATTCGAGGGTAGATGTGATTGGAGAGAAATCAACTTCCTTAGGAGCGGCACCAGTAGAAGTCTTGATATCCTGGAGAGTAGCGATGATTTCCTTGACAGAAGATTCTAAGCCGGAAATATCAGTTGGCTCAGGGATAGCAGCTGGTGTAGAAGTAGATTCCTTGATAGATGCAACGTTAGAAGCAACTTCCTTGAGTTGAGCATCAATTGGAGAGAGGTCGATGGTTTCGTGAGCTGGAGCTGGGGTAGATTTAATTTCATTGACGGTAGCAGAGATTTCCTTAACGGAAGCTTCCAGTCCAGAAATATCAGTCTTCTCAACAGCGGCAGCTGGAGCGGAAACAGTTTCCTTAACCTCACCCAATGTAGAGAGAATTTCCTTGACAGATGATTCAAGACCAGAGATATCGACAGTAGATGGTGCAGGTGCGGACTTGATTTCCTCAATGGAAGCAGTAATATCCTTGATGGAGTTCTCGAGACCAGAAATATCAGTTGGGGCAGAAGCAGGAGTAGATTTAATCTCTCCAAGAGTTGAAGCATGTCCTTCAGCGGCAGACTTGATTTCGTTCAAAACAGCAGCATGGGAAGCATGAGATTCGTTGGAAGAGTTGACAGCAGAGAGGATATCCTTGGAGGTGGCACTTGAGTCAGATTCCTTGATGGCGGCAACATCACTCTTGATAATAGCAAGGTCGGATGTGATGGCATTGAATGCGTCCTCATTTGTAGCACTCTTGAGAGCAGCAACCTCTGAAGCAATTCCATCCAACTTTGTAGTGTGTAATTCCAAAACCGATGTGTCTTGAGGAGAAGAAGACTTCTCACTCAATCCCTCCAATAAAGATGTCATCTTAGCAAGAGCTTCTTCGACGGCAGCTAATTTGCTTGCAGTCTCTGCATTGCTAGCATCGATTTGTTGAGAAAGCTTGGTAGCTGTAGCAGCGAGTTTGGTATCGACAGCATCAACATTGAGGGAAACATTTTGA